ACGTCACTCTTTCAAATAGTTCTTTATTTTGTATTTATTAAAGAAAAATAGATTATTTTTGACAGGTAAAGCTGATCCAGGATGCAAGTTTATCAATATATTAACCATCACTTTTTCCTTCCTCCAAATTGACTCCTGACACAAGCATAAATATATGCAACTTCTCAACAAAGATTTCCTACACCCTCAGAGTAAAACCCATTTCCTGCCTCTCCACAGCCGCTCCATGCATGGAAACATTTCTGCTTAGGAACTAAGGAATAATTTGGTTTTCAGTACAGGTCTTCTGACTGACTGAAAATACACGAATATATTCTTGAATAACAGCCTGAATATCAAAAATCTAATGGTAAACATGCTACTTACAGAACTATATAAAGAGAATGTAAAAGAGGCATATGCAACACATTAGAAAACATTAAATTAAGAGAGGTTAAATGCAGAATATTTTAATGCTACATGCTGGAAGAGAAGTAAATGAAAATTGCTGTAGGCAGTGTGAAAAAAAGTTACAGCAACCACATATCTTAGATTTTTCAAGATAGTTCTAATTTCAACCACTTGCTCTTATTAAATGCTGTGTCCTCACCTTTTGAAAGAGAATTGTTTCACTGCAGGAAAAGCATAGTATGGGAACTAAAGTGCTCCAGTAGGACAAACAATGGCTGGGAAATAACAAAAACACCACTAACCAAAAATTTAACTTCATCTTACCTCTTCGTCCCTGCACCCTTGTCACTAGTCTTTTGATTTTCTAGGAGACCCCAATGCTATCACCTAATGTTTTGGGAGTATTAGTTTAATTCCTGCCTCTCAAGTCTTGCTACTTTTATCTCACTCCTAAAGCCACGACCTAGATCCTACCACCATAATCAATCTCTTCTCTTAGCTTCTTTCCATCTCCTTACCTTTATTGAGACCTGGTTATTGCCTAAGGAACTGCATTCCTGCAGCCTTCTCAAGCTCTGAGTCTTTTTTTTTCTGTAATAAAAAATATGTATTCAGATTACGTGTTTGGAATTGCAAATGTGTGCACTATGTTTCTTGTGTTGTAAAATAACTGTGTATGTGTAAGAGCCAAAATATTGCTCATTGTTCAGGAATAATGGTAATTTGGAGGAAGTGTGCATTGCAGTGACAGGAGATGATGCTTGGGCCTCTGAAGAATGACTCCCTGAGAGACACAGTTATAGTTTGTGTTCAAGTTATGAATCTTTATTCTTTCTTGCACTACATACTTCAGGGTCAGGAATTGAGCTCAGGGTCTTCCTTGCTCTCTATGTTACCTTCCCTGGTATTACCTAGGATTAATATATAAAAACATGCCTATTTTGTTTATAGTTCCCTCCTCGCTAGTGAAAAAAAATTGCTACCTGGTAATCTTTCTCTATGGGGGAGAGCAGAATTTAGTGGCACTAAAGTACAATGCAAATAGTCTGTGATATTAAAGAGCTATTGTAGAGGGAGTAGTTAAACAAATGAGCTAGGAAAGTTGTGGTCAGAATGGAATTCTGCAATGAGTGATTTTGGAGGTAGGGGAGTTTCTGATGACAGAAAGGTCACATAAAGTGAGAGAGGTCAGTAGAGATGAGTCAAAATGTTGGATGACTGTGGCACAGGTTGAAGTGTTGGCTAGGATAACTGAGGGAGAATAGATAAGAATGAGTGAAGACACTGGAAGATTTATAGATAGGTAGGCAAGAATTTTAAGACACTCTTATCAGATGGCTCCTATTTATTTTTTCAACTAGAAGTCATCCACTAAGAGAAAAGAGAAACATGGACAGTTTGGTGGTATGAAGAGAGGATACAAGATTTGAAATAATCATTGTGAAGAATGTTCTGGTGGTTGATCTGAGGAACAGTAAGTGTGTTATGGAATTCCCAGAGCACAATTGAAAGTAGTGATCATTAGGTTCCAGTAAGTTCATCTGATTACTTCCTGAGTCAGTAGTTCTCTGCTTTAAAGTAACATCAGAATCACATGGAGTGCTTATTAAACACAGATTGCTGGGCCCCACTATCCCAGGTATCTGATAAAGGAAGTCTGGTGTGGGGCTGAAGAATCTGCATTTCTAACAAGTTCCCAGGTGCTGCTGCTGCTGCTGGTTTGGGCACTGCACTTTGACAACCACTGCTCTAAATATTTCTCTCCCCTAATGATTTCTACCCAAATCCCTGAATTTGGTATATATAACATCTTAAAAAATACATCCTGAAAGCAATCTAGAATGAATTTACTGATTTATCAAATCACTTTCCTGGTTCTCCAAATTCCTCTAAGATGTTTTCAATAATCTTAACCATCCAGCATTATTCACAATGTATTTAATAAACTTGCAATAAAATGTAACCATTCAATATCATTCACAGTGTATCCCAACATAATCCTGATTTCCAGTTAGACATTTCCTTCATGTTATATACAGGGGTACTTCAAAAAGTTCATAGAAAGATTCATACTATCTTGCAATTATATTTTTCCACAAACTTTTTTTTTTTTTTTTGTCTTTTGTCTTTTTTCCGTGTCCGGCAACGGATCGCAAC